TCCTGCCCCATATGCTATCTCATGTTCCATATCTTCATGTACTTCAGATTGGAGGGTTTTCTGTAGTCATCACCAGGTGTAGCACTAGCAAAGCAATTGTAAAACTTCTAAACTGATGACTTTTTGGCTATGGTACTCTCCCATGAGATGGACTGTGTATTGGCCAAATGTAACGTTAGCATACAAGAATTGGGTCTACTTATGCACTATCTTTGGTAAGGTTGATTTTTATTTTTTTGCCAGGGGTTTCCCTATTTAGGATTTCATAGTCCATTTCTTTTTTAGACACAGAAAATAAGAGTCACTAAGTGGATGTGAGCCAGGCCTATGGGCTCCCATACCAGGTGAAGGGAAGAAAAAATTGAACTATGTCTCTTGTGAAGACAAATTGAACTATGTCTCTTGGGATGTCCAGAATGTGGATGCCAAATGTTATCTGCTACGTTTCCAGTTAAGCTTTAAGTTCTCAATTGTGAAAACTTGATTTGTGTAGTTTTCCACTTAAAGCCTTTTGACGTACTCCCTTGGTTGCTTAGTTGTAGTATCTGCACCAAACAGAATCAAGAGACTCCTAAGGAGAAAGATATTATTAATCTAAGTGGATTAGGCCCAGAGCAATCCTAGTCATGAGACTTGCAGCAACATTGAGTACAAGATAGGATTAAGAGATGAGAGGAATATGTTGCTTGTGCATTTGACTGAATTGGAAGAGGATAAAATAGAAATTCAGTTACATGTTAAATTTTGCTTTTTAAGATGTTCATCCTACCAAATTCCTTTGGTGATATAGACTCAATTGCTTGCCAGAACAAGTAATATTTATTACAGGATACTATATTTTATTAATTGCTTGGACCCAGTAAGAAGCTTCCAGTAGGGTGAGACAACATGCTGAACTAATCATATGCAATGCAACCATGACTCCCATTGATATTAATCTCTAATGGTAAGAGCAGGGATCTTGTCCACTTCTTCATTTCTTAGGACATACAGGTGTGTGTTTTAATTGTGCTGCATCTCTTGACAGATTGGTTATGTTCACCAGAGATAAGAGCTACCATTATGTATATGGTACATCATCTGATTTGGTTCTCCATGCTCATGATTTTTCATATTTTATGTACTGAACTATGTAATTGAATCAACTTCATGTTAATTCATGTTCCCCACAGATTTTCCCATTGGTACACTAAACTCCCATCAAATAAACGTCAAAAAGGTCTTCTTTACATATAAGAATACATCCATTGCAAAATGCTGCTGTTGTCAGGACTTGACTGTATATCACTTGCATCTTCCTTTCAATCTATCGACATTTTTATCTCCTAAAAAAGACAAAGGAGAGGAAATTGAAAATTAGACCACAAATTTAGCTAGGGAAACAAGAGGAACAAGAACAATATAAGTTATAAAACTTGTGAGACTTGACACGAGGGAAGAAAGTAGGAAATAGATCGATTATTTTCCCTAAGTTTCCTAGATTGGTATTTACTTTCTCAGAGTCTCCTGGCTAACCAGCTTATCACACTTACATAATTGGCCAACTGTATGTTGGCATTAAAATTAGAATTTTAGTATTCTTTCCTGATTAATAGATCTTCTTTGAAGAGGTCAGTTACATGCTACATATGTGAATTTGCTGATTGAATTTTGCTCATAATTTTTTGTGAATATCGAGGTGGTTCAGTTTATTTGCTTTGATAATGTCTCAGCTGGAATCATCTGATTTGGTGTGTTAGAGACAATGAGGAAATAATACTTGCATTGTGATATACTGGCATGTCATGCAGCACCATAGTAAAGCACCACCTTTAGTTAGCAAAGCTACTAAGGTGGTCAATGCATTGATAGTGATAATGCAAAATAAGTAAAAGCTACTAGAGATACAATGCAATTTCTGCAGGATCATCCCACCTCAGCATCCTCATTCATCCAACAAATATTTTTTGGAATGTCTGTTGTCTTCTTAGAACTCTTCTTAGTACTTCCTTTGCAATGACCCAAAATTTATAAATCCACATTTTATTTGATTTTTCTTTAGATAATACCACTGTTGAACTTCAGAAGGCTTTGAGTCCCTCAATATTTTTAAAAATTATTATTCACATAATCTGCAAATTCTTAACAATGCAGAAGGAAAGAATGCAACAAGAAATTTCATCATGAGCTCTATCAGGATCATTCAGGTAATCGACATAATCCCGTTTTATGGTGGGCAGGTTGCGCTGTCAGTTTTTTTTATCATATCTCCTGAAATCAAACAAATTCCTGAGATACACAGATATAAGTGTTCATTTCCGATTATATCACTTGTGAAAAATAATTTTCATGATCTTATAAAATGTAACAGTCATGCTAGCTAGACCTCTTTCTTTTTTCTTTTTTTTTAGCACACTTGTGTAAACTTGTTCAATATGCATGGAGTTTAATGTTGGACATTCCATCCTTCTCTATGCTAGAGAAGAGGTACGAGTTACACAGGTGAAGATTGTGTTATGGCACCACCCTATTCATTATAGTTAAGATGCTGTAGCATGGTGGGATGCTTTTTTTTATAATCACTCTCAGGATGACCAAGAGTTGCAACACTGAAGCTAAGTTTCATACTCTTAGTTTCATACTCTTAAATATCATAATATTGAGAAGTGATAGATATTTCTCTTGTCACTACTTATAGAGTGTTCATATCTCTTATCTATCCTTAATGCCAGAAATAAGTAATTACTTTACCATTTTAGTATGGAGCATTGCTAAACCTAAAATTTTGAATATCTTGTAAAATACTGTCCTGAATCTTAGTGTGAATTGGCACATTTAATTTAAAGAAGAACTTATGACATTTACTATTATAGTTTCTTTTTCATTAATATTTGTTTAAAGTAGAGTAGATGAAGGGATATATCTTAGGAAGCCCTTAGAGTCTTTAAGTATTTAAGGAGTATTTAAGAGTATTTAAGGATGTGGTTTTGATGGATATTGGCTAGTCCAAGCCAGAATGGAGTCTTACACATCATTGTCAATGAGAAAAATGCATTTACAAGTTACATTCCTACTTCTGGCTCTTCCTCAACTTCCAGTAGGGAAAATTCAGAAATGCACCATAGCTACAGGGCCTATGGTCAAGTGTGGCAGTTGAATTTTGCCTTCTCAAAAGTGAATTCTACAACATATGTTATAATTACAATGTTCAACAATTACTTTACCATTATTTAGAGCATCATAATTGTTGGCCAGGTTGCCATTGGGTTTTATCCACACCATGTAATTCTCTCTTTTTTTCTCTCTCTCTCTCTTAATCCCTTTTTTCCCCCATGCAATGAATGTCTGCTTAAAAGATCTCTGTCAAGCAGGTCAAATTAGTGAAACTGCTATCAGTGACAGCACTTCTGCCTTTACAGCTGAACAATCAGCAATGTCTTAAACATTAAAATGAAAATTTGATTAACTTAGGCCTTGGCCTTTATAATGTTTAACTTTTTCCCCCTGTTCCTAAGCCCCTGATAACTCAGATACTTCAGAAATGATTTTGATAGGGCCATGTTACACCGAACCATCTTCACTGACTTATGCATGTCACTTCTTTTAACATAGACCATTGGTTTTTGTCATTGGCTCATTTATGATCTGAAATTTTGAATTGTTAGGTGGATTTGTAGACTCCTTTGGACTTCAATCAAATTGGCAGATGAAAACTGACTTAATGAAGTGTTTCTAAAATTGAAATTGTAAACTCAGCTTTTCCATGTACTTACAAGCCATTTGGTTGAGAATTGGGAATTTGCTTTGAGGGGTAGATTGTCAAATCAGGTCTTACTTAGGCTCCCTTAATGTTAGTCTTAGGCTAAATATTCATATACGAATATGTTCATTAACATTAATGTTCATTCATGTTCAACCATAGGTGTAAGCCTATGACTCCCATTTCAGATTGTAAACTTATTGAGAAATGTCACTTGCTCTACTGGTAATGTTATGGCTAAATTCTGGTTAATATTTTTTATTGTGAATACTTCTTATGATGTAATGAAAGTATTGTTTATTAATATAAGAATGGAAGAATCAAATTGAGGTAGTGCATTGTTTTCATCACCAATAATTAAAAGACTCCACTAATTGGTACTAGCCAGAGGAATTCAGATCCCATGTTTCTTTTTTCTCTTCTATCTATAGACTGGGCTCAAAAAAATTCATATTTTTTTCATTAGATTGACACACTTGAAATAATAAAGAAATGCTTATGTGATTTGGAGGTTAAATGGTACTACTTTTTCATGATTGAGTTGAATTTGCTTTGAAGGAAATGTGACTAGCAGTTAATTAACCCTTTGATAAGTATGCCTGTATATATACGGGCTGACATCCTCCTGTCCTCCATGTATTCACTATGGGTGATCTTCCATTCTTTAACAAAACCCACTCCTCAAAGGGTTAAAGAATGTTTTACTGCACAAGAGGAAAAAATTGTTTAGGTGCACACTCATGTTAACATGTGAGGAAAAACATCTTTAATTTCTTATTTCAATGAAGAGTTCTTGATGAAGTGTAATCTTTATGATTCTTATGAGAAAGTGTAGACGACAACAACTGTGGATAAAGTGAGGACTTGATTCACCTGTAATTATTAAAGGTGATGTTAAGTATGCCTTCTTATGCTTTGATGACAGTTGATGACGGCTTTGTCCACTGCTGCTCTACCAGGAGGATGTTAATTCTAGCATGTGAAGCAAAGTAATGTGTACAAGTAAAATATTTTAATCCCCACACAGTAAAATGAATGGTTTTTTAAAACTAATCATTCAATTTCATTTAAATAATTTATATTTGGTTAGGTAAAGTAGTACTGTTATTCCTTGAAATTGCATGAGCATGTTTTAATATAGATATCCCAACCAATGAAAGAGAGTAAAAAATTTTTTGGCTTACTCTGTACTCTTTATGCTATGAGCTATTGATTTATTGATGTTCTTTGAATATTACTTTATTGTTAATTTCTAATGTGTTTTTTTTTTTACTTCTAGGAATGAGATAAGTAGCCGTGCATCACTGCTGTGATGGCTACTATCAGTCGCTAGAATGAATTTGATCCCTCACTATTTTTTCAAAATCATTTCAGTCAGCCTGTGATTCTATTCCTAGGTTGACATGTATTATAACATAACTTCACTCAAGTAAATTCATAGCGACTGTAGATTTATCAACCATTAAAGACACAACGGGATCGACAGTACCAGCACCCTGCAGACATCACAGACAGAGAGTAGCTCTGCTTTGACTGGGCAGGAGAGATTTCTTGCCATTTTCCCAAAGGAGAAAATTTCTTGCCAGCCCAACATAGTTCATCATGTCTTGCTGCTTGAGTGAAGAACAGAAAGAGAAGAAGAGAATCAATGCTGAAATTGAAAGGCAGCTTCGTAAGGACAAAAGAGACGCCAGGAGGGAGTTGAAGCTACTACTGCTTGGTATGAACCAATCCAGAAGGTTTAAGCTCTTAAAATGAATTTGGAGTCACTTAGAAATTGACCTTTCATGGACTCAAGTGTTATCATGGTCATTTATTAATAGGCCTACAAGAGATGGTCAATCTGAAAAGTAGGTTCATAGGTTGGCAGAGGTAGTTTTTATGCCCTTTTGACTCATACCCATATCTTTTACCTACCTGGAAGGAGATACCATGGATATAGATGCTCCTCCCTTCATCCTGGCAGCTTGTCAAGCAAAACATCCAATGTGAAGGTTTCCCCATCAGTCATAGCAGATCAAAGCAGAGAGTTGACTCATACTCATTTGAGTGGATGAGCTATACCATTTGTTGTGTAACTTCCATTCTTACTCTTCACTTAAACATCAGCCATCTCAATAGAGTAAGGTTTTTTTTATGAATCTCAGGAGGATATATAAGAGTTAATGGCTTTTTCATAATGGTTGGTTTTTATTATTACAAAAGGGTATGAATTAATCCAACATGCATTTGAAAGCTAATTTGTAAATGTTACAGAGCTTCATGGCAGGGTCAATTAATGCCCTTGATTTATTCTTGCCTGGGGGAAACAATAGGCTGCAGAGTGAAAACAAGAAATGAAGTCCTATTGGGTAAAATGGGCTAAGATAAATGATCTCTGGTGGGGCTCTAATAAGGGGAGATCAAGATCAAAGGCAAATGCAGCCCTCCCATATCTCATGTTCACCATTCAATTTGGTCACTTAAGCCCCTAATTGCTTTATTGCAATGCTTCTATGATCTCTGTGGTGCCTTCTGCCCTGCCCTCCTGCTCTGGTGGTGGCCATACTAATCAGAGGAAAAAGTAGCAATGTCATTCCTCATTACTCTGCCTGCTTTCTGTGGTCTCTGGTCATAAGACTCAGCTGCTTGAGTTGATGTTCCCAACAGTTCCTTGGCAATTTCATGAACATGAAACTAACTCAGCCAACTCCCCATATTCTGCAAACCTCTTTAAATTTCACATTACACCCATCCATTGTCAGACTTGCCAGGATGTCACATATGAAACTAGTAGCCTCTCCTTGCAAACTAAAAAGAGTACTGTTGCTAAAATCACAAATAAGCAAGACAAAATTAGTTTATCCCCTCTATCAATTTATTTTGTAGACCCATGAGTGGAAAAGTGTTGATCTAGATCACCACATATAGATGCCATAGCTTGAGGGCCCAAACAAGCCTTGACATGATGTGATCCTCTACTTAATTTCTATCGAATATTGCCTGTTTTCACATATTACCCTAATTTAGAAATGAATTTGTACCAACTTCATACCTTACATGTTTTGTTATGGTTCATCCAAGAAGGTGAGGTTTGTCAAAAGTAAAAAGTTGTTATCCCTTGTTAAAGGTGATACAGATTCATTTGCAAGTCACTGGATAGATATTTCCAAAAGGTGCTCTGATACATTTTATTACTGTTTTTGATTTCTTGATTCTATTGGCTGGCCTTGCTGATGGGTCAATTGGCTGTTGTGTTTCAGCCAGGCTTATCTTCTAGTTTTGATATGACTGTAAATTGGCTCGTTTTTGGCTGAATTTTTCAGGCTTGGTTTAAAGTGAATGAGGCTTGAATGGGATGCCTAGTGGCTTACTGCAGGAACTAATACCTTTGCATGATGCCGGTATCAAAATGCTCATTCATGTTTGCTCAACCTGTGCTGCCTGTCCCTCAAATGCTGTGGGGAACGGTGGTGCTCTCTGCGGGAACCAAGATGAGGTGGCTTCAGTGACTCCTGTCATTGTAGGCTAAACGCCTGTCCAGTGAGCGTGAATCTGCTGGAGTGAATGGGCATAGTGATTGCGGAAGGACGCCTATATAAACCATAATAAGCCATCTGTGTTAGGATAATGGGAAACATGACCTGTTGTCAAAGTGAAGAAGAGAAGGAACAGCAGCGCATAAACAGGGAAATTGAGAAAGAGTTGAGGCGAGGGAAACGTGATGCACGTCGAGAGCTCAAGCTACTTCTTCTGGGTAGGACTTTGTGCAGAAATTTCTCAGCATGTCAACATGACGTGTCAGTTCTGTGTTGCATGGAGTCTTGTACTGTCAGGATATCCCTGAACTCAGATAGGTCTTCCTTGTGATATATGGAGATGTCAAATAGGGATGGCATGATGCATGAGAATATAAAAGAATATCAGAGAATTCTAGTCCTATAAGAATTTCAGCTGGACCCACTAAGTTTTAGCTATGCCATGACAAAGGCCAGTTCAATGGAATGACAACTACTTCAAATTTTTAAATTTTAATTTAGTTTTGCTTTTCAGTTGCTCTTTTTTTCTGTCTTATGTTTCTGAAACTGATGATGCATGTATATCTGGTAAAGAAGTATTAGTTAACTTTCCATGCAATGCATGCTTGTACCATATTCAATGAAAATGATGAAATTAAACTCAGAAGGCATGCAAGCAACTGAATAATTGATGTAGACATATTTGGCAATCTTGAAATTCCCCCCCTGAGGCAATATTACTGTTTTTGGGTCAATGGCAGCAACTGGCTGTGTATGGAATCATTCCTGTTGTAGTATGGTAGCTCATAGGAGCATGTTTGTATTTGGTATTATCAGCCTTGTTCTGCAACTGATTGTGAGACTTTACACTTCAATTCAGGGACTGGAGAGTCAGGGAAGTCCACATTCATCAAGCAGATGCGAATCATCCATGGCAGTGGATATTCTGAAGAGGACAAACGTGGATTCATCAAACTTGTCTATCAGAACATTTTCCTTGCCATGCAGTCGATGATTAGGGCCATGGAGCTCCTCAAAATCCAATATGGGAACCCTAAGTGCCAGGTATAGTTACATCTTTGCATTCTTTTTTGCAAAAATTATGTGATGATTCATTTGGAATGATGGAAATCAGTTGGGAGGGGAATTCATTGGAGATATACAGCAGCAAAAAATCAGGAGACTTTGTTGATGCCATCCTTTTGGCCATGTCTTGACAGGAGCTTCAGTGTGTGCTCAACTGATTCAATTTGGAATATTCCATGGCTGAAATGAAATTGAGTGTCCCCAAAACACAAGTTATAGTCCTCTTGTCCTGCACAGTGTACCTTACACTTTAGAGGGGCCCTGCTAGAGTGGGTGGAGAAGTTAAAGTACTTTGGCTAAGTGGTTCTTGAGCAACAGGTGAATTGGAAATGAGATTGACGGCAGCATCTCCAGGGCTTCTGCTGTTTTGTGGGAACTCTGGACTGAGGTTGTCAAAAATCTGATATTTTCAAGGAGGCAATATTTTCTGCATTCAAGAGCATTTACTTCTCCAATCTTATCTATGGTCATGAACTTTCAGCAATTACTGATAGGATCAGGTTGCAGATACAAGCTGCTGAAATGAGGTGGGTGTTGAGTGTCACATGCATTGTGAGAGGATGGGAAGTGCCACTATCTGAGAACCTTCAGCTCAGTAGCTACTTTTGAACAAGAGATCCCAGGCCTGTTGGTTTGGACACTTCCATATGCATGAGAGGCCATGTGTTATTCTAGGACACTCCTTATAGACCACTGAATGGATTTTCATGAGGGAAGTGTCAATCAAAAATCCATAGGTGTTACTGATTGGGTCAAAAGTAAAAAATGCCTTACCATTTTGGTGGTAAGAATAGCATTGTACTGAATGTCTTCCTGGGCAAAGTACTCACAGCCAATGATTGGCATTGTCAGCCAAGGATGTTTTGTTATGGCAACTGCTGGCAATGATATTCATATGTCATAGTTTTCTCTTGTTGCCAGTCCCATTGCCAGTTTACAGCAGTGCTTCACATACCTCTGCAGCAGTTAGTGCTCTATATTACTATTTTTAATTTTGGGTGTTGCTCTGAATATGCCACAAGAGAGACAGGAAAGTTTTAGCTATTCTTTGGTGCAATCTACTGAACATAAGAGAAAGAGAGGTGTTCTGGAGTTGGTCAGCTGATGAAATGCAAAATGGTGTGAATGAAATGCTTCCAGGGCCAATGAAACTGGAAAAGAGAGAACAGGAAGGTGTGCACAAAATGCTTTGTATGATTTATTTTCCACCATGTATGAATGGGTTTTTACACTAGTCTTCCATTTGCCTTCCAAGAGACTTCACAAAAGAGCCCTTCAATAAAAAATGACAAGCAATAGACCCATCAGTAGGCCTCATGCTGGGTGGAAATTTTTTGTCACAAGAGGCAAGGTATATCACATGCTGAGCTTGAGTCCATTGCCCAGGATCATGAACACTGGAAGGTGCTCCTGGACCTGCTTGAGCTGTGACCCCATTAAGTTGAGATGAGTAGTTTTGAAAATATATGTGTATATGTATGGGGATTTAGTTTTGGGAGTTTTCTAGATTGGAATTTGTTAGGGCTGTACCAGTGGCTAATTTTGGCCACCAAGCCAATCCAATTGGTTGATGCCAATGCTGATCATTAAATGTAGATAAAGAGCAAAGAACCATATGAAATAAATTCAAATAGACCTGTTAGGAAGCCATATTTGTCATATTTTAGGGGCATTTGCTTTGGCTGTTATGAAAACTTTAACAACCTGAATAATTGATGGTGCATCAATGCATCACAAGTGATTCAGTCATCTCTTCTCAGTGATGATGGATGACATTAATCAATGGATTATGACAGCCCCACCTTTTGCCTGTTGCTGTTGAGAATCATCTAATGAGTCATATTTGTGGTTTTTCTTTTTTCTCATTCAACATGTTATTTTCTGATCATCAGCATTGGCAGCTTGCAAACCTACTTGCAGCCTGTATCTGTGGTTGCTGATACATTGGTACAGCCTTAGAGTTTATGCAACTCATTTCCTTCATTTATGATTTCATTTTTCCACAGGATAAGGCAGAACTTGTGAAATGTGTGGATCATGAGACAGTGACAACATTTGAGGAGCCCTATGTGAGTGCCATTAAAGCCCTCTGGCTAGACTCGGGAATCCAAGAGTGCTACGACCGCAGGAGGGAATACCAGCTCACCGATTCTGCCAAATAGTATGACTATGTTCCATCATGTTAACCTTTTGTGGTCCTATGTTGAGGCTGCCATGACTTAAAATTTTCTTGTCAGCACAGGTCCTATGTCAGCCCAACCCCTAACATAGCATCTGTGCTTACCTTCCAGATCACTGAGCTTGTAACATTAATGTTATCTACAGTCTAATTGTTATAGTTTTGGTAATTGGCAAAGTGATGCCCATGAAATAATTACCCCCAACCAGACTTACAAGAATTGCAAATGAATATTGGACTGCAAAAGGTTAATGGAACTGATGCTTTGTTGTCACTCCATTTCAGGTTTCCTCTCAAAGTATTAAAAAACCACATTATTGTACCTGAAGATGTTAATAAAATTCTGAGTAGGAAGGGATTTTTGGAACGAACACGGAAGTCAACGCATGATAGGTATCAATTCTTTCCTGCTTTCACTTTTTGCTATTGCTCTGCAAATGCTTCCAGTCAAGGAGTTTATGCCAGAGGCAGTGAAGGCTTTGCAATTGCATTTATTATCATCATAATTGTGCTGGAATTGACTTTAGATAGGATCAGATTGTCATGTGTCATTTATGACTTAGGTGGTGGAGTAGAAAAATACTAGTGTGTGTCTTTGTCACTGTTACAAGAGAGCAACAGGATATTCTCTTGGAGTTATCCTAGAGGAGCTCACTTGCACCCCGCCAACTGATATTGGTCTGTACGTTCCAGCTACTTGTCAGACTTAGATCGAATAGCAGCCCCCTTGTACCTCCCCACGGACCAGGACATCCTCAGAGTAAGGGTACCCACTACTGGGATCGTGGAGTATATCTTTGACCTCCAGGAGATTCGGTTCAGGTATGGCTACTGGCAGGACTGCCTGCAAGATGCTTTTGTGCTTGTTGACCTGCATGCTTGCTTGCATACTTTGCATGTGCTACACTGCTCTTTGCACTTGCCATTTCATTGCATGGTCAGTACCCTTCCGTTATCTGAAGAATACAAGGAGGAACTGAAAAGTGAGAAGAGGATGTAAATTAGCAATTATGTTCTAATGCTTTTGTTATGTTTTTGAAATGAGCATGTTGCATGCTGGGTGTTGGTTGTTATGATGCAGTTACCTGGATGACATAGATCGCATAAAAGCAGTCGACTACATCCCGACTGTCCAGGACATCCTGCGTGCCCGTGCTCCCACAACAGGGATCCTGGAATATCCTTTCGATCTTGACTCCATCATTTTTCGGTACTTTTCTCTTCCTTGGTTAATAAATGTTTATGCTTCTGCTTGCAGTTGGCAATTTTGTCTGTGTTGCCAATAATTTGTTTTGGTGCTGTATGCATTTAATTGGTTCTGCTGTTAACCGCATGAAACAATTGCTGTGCAGTGCCTTTCTTTGAAGTAGATATTTGCTGCAAGAGCAAGTATCTTGAAAGTACGAATTTCATACTGCAGGATGGTGGATGTTGGAGGGCAGCGATCAGAGCGACGCAAGTGGATTCATTGCTTTGAGAATGTCACATCCATCATCTTTCTTGTCGCCTTATCTGAATATGATCAGATTCTCTTTGAATCAGACAATGAGGTTAGTTCAGCCCTAATTTTAATCAGTGTTATCTTTAAATGGATTGCTAAATGTGTTGTGTGTGTGTATGAGAGAGGGTGAGGATGTGTGAAAATTACTTACCCTCTTTAAGAAGGCATGTGGGTGGTGGTGCTATAATGTATGGCACTGTATTAGAATTGTGGGCTTCTAGTTTTGGTCAGTGGATAAAACAGAGCGATCACATACCTGTGAGGAAAGGGGTCAACCCAAGGAGCCATTCAAGAGAGACAACAGTATGAACGTATGGACAGGATGTCCCATCTTATTCCACAGTGAAGAAGTGGACAGCAAATTTATAATGGGGTAGACAGCATCACATTTGACCCACAGCTGCATCTGCACTGGAAAATCTGGATGCCATTCATGTAGTCATGGAGGACTACAGACTTGTTGCTAATCTTGTTTTACATGTTATGATCTTGTCTGAACATTGTCATGAAATTCTGACTGACACTCTTACTCTGCCACTCTTGCTCTCACTTAAGTTTCAGTTATGTGGGTGCTGAAAGATGTCCACGCAGATCAATGGTGCATTCAGGTTTAGGTTTTGCTCCCTTTGCTATACATGTTTCAAGTTGTTTCTAATGATTTCCTTTCCTAGTTTGACACCATGGATGAGAAATTGGGTCAACACTTCAATCCAGGAACAAAACAATTGGTGCAGCCTAGCATGTCAACTTAACACTGCCACTAAAGTTCCACCCAGTTTCATCAGTGGGCAAGATTATTTTTTTTTGGATGCTGAGGGTGTTCTACCAATTGATTTCTTAGAACATGATTTTGCAATCACAGACTCTTCCCTGCAGATCTCCTGCACCTGTTTCAAAATGCTTTCAAGGCCAAGTGTTGAGGGAAATTGCATATTATGCTTTTTTCTTGTTGATGCACCATCCCACATCACATGTTTTGTCTTAGATGAAATTAATGAATGTGGCTGTAACTGCTGCAGCACCCGTCTGCTCAGACCTCACCACTTTGGACTTCCTATGTTTCACCATTTGAAAACACAATTCAGAAGGGTTTTTCAGACCAATGTTGACATTATATAGCTTCATTGCCTTCTTCCAGGAGGTTGTTAAAGTTTGGCAGCATCACTGACAACATTTTTTTTGGATATCAGAAATACACAGAAAGGTTTTCAAGTTGTGTGAATCTGCATCAACTCCACTTTATTTAGGCTTTTGAATGTTTCACACTCTCCTCATATTCCATGATTTGGATCAGATCCTTTGTACTGAAAGTGGGAAAAAATTCTATGAAATTGATATTCCTTCTTATGATTTTGAATTGCCTAGTTGCTATTAGAGGAACTTGCATATGTTCATTCTCCATAGAAGTGCACCTCCTTATACAGGGTGATCCAAAAGTAATGCACACCAAACAACCTGAACTAAATGAGTTATTGTTGAGTTATTTGATGTTTCTGCATTGGGAAAATCTTTAGCAAGTGCTGCCCAATACTGTGCATAAGATTTAATTGTGAAATAATGTTCAAGAATACACACACTGTTATTGTGAGAGTGGCATCCTTCAAGGAATAAAAAAGAACTGAGGCCATGTGGCCAGTCGAGGTCAAGCTGCTACACGCATGAATGTAATGTCTGATGTTGCCACTCTTCACCAGTGTTGCAATGTAGTGAATCTGTGGTTGTAATGATTTCTGTAAATGGGAAAATATGTCTATACAGTTGGTGTGTGTGACTTTTGGATCACCTTGTACTCTTCAATTATGGGGATCACTATTCCTCTGCATTTTCTTCCATTCTAAGCCATGATGATTCTTGTGAAAACAGAATCGGATGGAGGAGAGCAAGGCCCTGTTCAAGACGATCATCACTTACCCATGGTTTCAGCAGTCCTCTGTCATTCTCTTCCTCAACAAAAAGGACCTGCTCGAGGAGAAGATAATGTATTCACACCTTGTGGACTACTTCCCTGAGTATGATGGTGAGTTCTTGCTTCCACATTCAATCCCTACCAATAAATGAACGTAGGCATTTCTTACTTGGGCTGTCAAGATTCTCCTAACATCATTTGATTGACTTTCATCTGCTCATGCCCTCATCAAAAGGGCCAAAGCAGGATCCGATTCCAGCACGGGAGTTTATTCTCAAGCAGTACTTGGTCCTGAATCCTTCTCCGTCCCGAGGCGTCTACTCGCATTTTACTTGTGCTACAGGTCTTGAGAACTAAAAATATATCACTGTCTCAGCCATTCCCCATAATTCCACCATGCAGTCCATGCACTGTAGTACAATTTTTTGGTACCTTCTGGAGTATAGTTTTGTTGAAGTTTGTTAGACCCACAAATAGTATCACCTGATATCAGAAATGGTTATTGTATGATTATCACTGCACCTTTGAAGTAGATTTGACCCAGTGGAATTGTTATTGTGTTCATCCATAGGTCCTCAGAAAGACCCGATAGCTGCAAGGGAATTCATCCTTCGAATGTTTGTAGAACTTAATCCTGATGCTGAGAAGATTATTTATTCTCATTTCACGTGTGCCACAGGTAAGGTCCTAGTATAGTATGCACATCATACTGCTTGCTGCCTTTGTGTGCCTATTCCTGTATGCACCTCTGCATCTATGTCATCCCACATCATGCAACATGGTGGCTTTAAATGAGTCTCCATACTGTCATGTTAATCCTTCAGTGGCTACAAAGGCTAAGGGATTGTAACTAGGCTACATTTACTATCAAAGTTTTGTGTAAACATAGCCATACTGGCCTGTAGAAAATCAGCTGGTGCATGGCATTAGCTGTTAAGTAGGTAGTCATATCCAAAAAGAATCTTATTGGTAGAATTGGAAAAAAGGAAAAGGGAACTGTTTTATGGAATAATGGAAGCAATTCTTCCTTGGTTTCTCCATTTTCATCATCTTTGTATCAGCTGATGTGCTGTTTCTCTCTTCATCCTCTTGTACAGTGAAGTAATATTGATCAAATGCTAATCTTCAGTCATATTGTTTACAAGTGGGACAAAACTTTATATTATGTGTATCTAGTTGCTGAAGATCTTCAGTTTCACTAGTGCTGCAGCTTTAGCAGGGTTTTATGCAAAATTTCAATGTTCAAGTAGCTGCAAGGATACCAATAATAACACATGCACTAAGAGTGACTTTCTCTCTACCCAGACATGAGAAGGGAAAGGAATAAGCTCTGATTCAAGTGTGTTCTAAGTAGCTGCCTGACATTGAGAAGAAATAACTTATTTGCAGCATCACCACAGATTGACCTGCTCCTTGTTGGAAACCCTGCCTTTATGTGTGCATATGCATTCTATAGGTTTCATTTACATTAAAAACACCAAGTCCATTGAGCAAGTGCTAGCCAACATTCTATCAACTGTTGGAATGTCAGAAGGATTAGAGAACAGATAAAGCACTTAACTATGGTGCTAGAACTACCAATTGTTGTTTCTCTATTTGTGTATTAGCCAGTGAAAATTATACATTCTCAGTTTAGGCCAGCATGCTGCTGGGTGGGGTATGACATTGTTTTTATATGAAAGCAGAATATATTAGCACAGCTAGCTTGACTCTGAATATAATCAGAATCCTGCAAATGCATTGACATCCATATTGTGTTCTGTCTGCCTGCTTGCTTTCACCTGGACATGACAAACTCCAGATACAGAGAACATTCGTCTGGTTTTCTGTGCTGTCAAGGACACCATCCTTCAGCAAAACCTCAAGGAATACAACCTTGCATGATGCATATCCCTCTGTTATGACTACTTCCTTCCTCTCCTTATTCCTTTCCCTGCTGGTCCTCATGCATGGCTGTTTTTGCACCCAGCTTACTTGCATCATTTGCCTGATTCTTTTGCATCTCTAAATGCATCAAGTAAGTTCAACATCTTCATTGTTTATTAATAAGGTATTTGGACTCAGTTGAATTTTCATTGTGATCTGTCTGCTTGCTCGGGTTCATTCATGGACTGAATAGACTGCAGACATGGAGAACATATATCATCATAGATGCTCTTGTTAGATACAGTCTTGCATGATATCTCTCTCATGCTGGTTATGCAGGGTGTCCTTACAGGTGCATGATATGGGCATCCTATTTTTATGATATATTACAATTTTCACTATTCAAGGTACTTGAACAATCATTTCACTTGTCCAAAATTGGCTTGAGTCAAAACTGGTAAAATTGTCATCATTTCCTATGCCCTCAAAAAGTGATTTTATGGGCATTATGTAACTTCTTCCTGTCTTTCCTTATAATTTGCCTAGTTGGTTTCTATGCATGGTTCTGTCTTAGTACTTGCATGATGGGTTCCTGGAATTCTCTCATTGTAATTCCATTGAGCTCAAATGATTTTATGCTCTGTTGTTAGAGTTTAGGATAGTGTTACTGACTCTGATGTGCCTTGTAATTGCAGATACGGAGAACATCAGGTTTGTGTTTGCAGCTGTGAAAGACACAATACTTCAGTTGAATCTGAAGGAATATAACCTGGTGTAGCAAAAGAGAGAGATATGGACTCTTAAAAGAGAGACAGAAGGAAAACAAAGGAGAGAGCAGAAATAAAGCAGACACACATGCTAGTCTGTATCCTCTTCCATCCAGCCAGCTGTCAATTTTCCCCCTCTCTCTTTTTCCATTGCTCACAAACTGTATTGTTCGTCCTGTTTTTCATCGGTGCTCTCTCTCTTTCTCTCTCTCTCTCTCTCTTCTCTTCCGTCGCGTCGGATCTCACGCTTCCTTGTTTTTGTTCGTCCTCGTGCTCCCTTTTTCAATCTGCCACGCTCAACACAAAATACAAGACAGAATGAGCGATTATTCGTCATCACTGCGTCAGTGTCAGCGGTGCTGGTCTCGAAACTCTCGATCCAAGTGCCTGCATCCCTGTGACCTCCGAACCACAAGTGAAGGAAGACCCGAAAGAACTCCCGAACCACATTGATCGTCCCGATCGGGAAAGAGACGCTCGGCCGTCGTCTCGATCGGGAAGGACGCCTGGCTCTGGCGACTGTGACGGGAAAATGTGTTCTCGCCTTAGGGAGAGAACATCATGTGGTCTTTTTTTTAATCCTACGAGTGTAGCACGTGGCTTCGGACTGAATGCTGCCCGACAAAGAGAATCCACATTCATTTTTTTATGTGTGTGATTATTAGAATGATGATGATGATGCAAACAACTTTCAGCTTGGGTTTTCCCATCCCATTTGTTCCCCTCAATCTCTGTCTGACAAGTGAGATCCACCACTGCGCATGCTCTAGTCATCTTCGACATTGCGCTTGCCTTCTCATTTTTTCCTGGTTCCCCCTTCCCCCTCTTTCTCTCTTTCTCAGTAAGACAATACCTACATTCTATTGATAACAATCTCCCTCCTTTCTCAGAGTGTGCTAGAACGGGATCCTTCATCTGTGCCAAACTGTCTTTCGGTTTTCTTCTCATCTCATTTTTCATCTCTATTTACATCATCGGTTCATTCAGTGATCATTTCGCTTGCAAAGCCCTAGTCAGTATGCCCTGGGACTTCTCGGGCGACCCACGTGACGTTTTCATCTCCCTTTTTTTGTTCGCTTTGTTCATGACAAAACACAAGGGTCCACAGTATATGATTGACTTTGTCTTTTTTATGATGGGTGATCAAGATGTTTTCTATATTATCATCATTTCCTCTTCCTCCATTTGCCTATGCTTTATTTCCCCCCTTCATGAGTGTGTTCCTCCCTCTCGTCCTCTCTCGTTCTCCCATCTTCGAGTTCGAGCTGCCAGCCGACGACAATGTTGCGTGAGTGGCCCTGTATCATTTTATGCCGATTTTACCATTGCATTGGTGAAAAATACACACTATTACTACAAACATGAATTGCTGGGTCATGGATTTAATGACCTAGCTTTAATTAATTAATAAAGGGAATTTGTATTACTTATGTGCTTTCACTTCCTTACACTCATTGTGCATGAAGACTCATGTTGGTTCTGATTTCACAGCTCCAGCCAATTTTTAGTATTTGCACGTCCACATGGTTTCTTTTTATCTCTGGTATTGCTCAGGAATTTTTGCAGAGTTCATCTCAGGTTTCATGTGAGAGTGTTTCACAGTAAGACTTAAGATATAGACAGCCTTAGCCTAAGCCTTAGGATATAGACAGACATGTCTGTGAAGCATTGTTTCTGTAGCTTTGACCTTGAGCCATTGCCAAGCGAATTCAAGTGAATCTTTTCATACGGTGATTTGTTGGCCTTGGAGAGAGGTGCTTGAGGTAGGAAGCAACTCAAAAGTCGAGGGTCTGGGGATTTGAAATTTGGCTTATGATTATTGTAGGGGGGCTCACAGTGACCTCCGACCTAGTTTTGCTGAAGTTAATGTTTGAAGTTACCGCTTGATGGCCTTTGCCCGGGTTGCAATGAAATAAGCATAATTTTCAAACCATTTCTTGTTGAGATGTGCAATTAACGTTTACATACAGCTAATACATTACTTTTTCGAATGGATACATTTGATGCGTCCTCGAATGAAAGGTCAAAGGTTAAACTACCGATTCACTTGGAGAGATCCAAATCGTAAATATGCTTATTCGGCTGCCATTCCTGTCACGGATTCGTTTCGCTCTAAATCTATGTAAGCTTAATCATACTTTAAGGCAGTGGTTCCCAATCTTTTTTTAGTTGCGGCACACATAAGGACTCTTGAACTTTCCACGGCACACCTAGCCATTTACTTTCAATGGGAGTCTTGTGCTTGCTTCGCTGAGCACAGCAGTTTGATACGAGGCGCGATAATGCAACTCCAAGCTTGTTTTCCACTGAGAGATGGTTTTCCCTCTTGTTTTTAAGTTTTTTTTTTTTTAGTTTTAGGTTTTTAGTTTTTGTTGTCAACTCTCAAATCTCACGGCACACCTTAGCCTTACTGGCGGCACATCGTTTGGGAAACACTGCTCTAAGGTAACCCTGCAAAATGGTACGTCTTTTCTTCTGAACGTTTCCGAGATTTTCATCAAAATGTACCCTAAATATCAACCAGAAAACGCGACTTCGGAGGTTCCCATGGCATAACTCGTCTCCCAGGTAACTTAGCGAAAAATCCTCCATAATTCTGTTAGAGATGAGTCCCTCAATTCTGTAGACACCTTCATCGCCAGAATCCATGTAGACTGTGGCATGCAGTATCCTTTCAAAGAAGAGCGTTTCGTGGGCCGTTTTCCCCAATGGCCTCACTCCCCCTTGGGTCACCGCGCATGCGCCTAGCTCGCGCATGCGCCATCTAGAAAACGAGGATTTCCTCGGTCGGGTGAACTGAGGCTTCGCCGGATGCCTTCGTTCAGTTCCCCCATCGTCTCAAGGCGTCTGGAGTGTCTGACTATCCAGATTGCTATATTAGTTGACTTTTATATGTTCACTAATTCCGGCTGCTCGAGGGATTGGTGCGGATTTCTATGTAGCCGCATGCCAAGACGCTTCACTTCGATGCGAAATCAACGCTTTCGTTCAGTCGAGACGTTGCTCTTCGAATCGAATGGCGACAATGCGACCTCGCATCGGCGGTGGAACGTGGAACATTTATTCCTGTAGAAAAGTTGAAGATCCGTTTCTCGCAGACGCCAGCTGCCATGGTTGGACCATCTGCTGGGTGAGTCTCATTGTCGAATTTCATGTCTTCAGAGCATTTTCGAGATGTGCATCGAAATGTGCTCTAAATTGAGCGCGATATTGGGACTTCTGGATGCTCCCACGGATTTACTAGCTTCGCAAAAAACGCATAAAAAACTCGTTCGTAATTCTGTTAGAGGAGAGTCTCCCGATTGTTTCGATATCTTCGCGTCACCAGAGCTCCTTGCGCGATGTTTGAAAGGATCCGAACCGCTCGACGGATCGTCTTGCAACTTTCATCTTTGTCAACCTCGAGAAATTCTCCTTAGCGCGGGATCAAGTTTAACGCCGATGTTTCGCACGTCAAAGTGGTTTTTTTTTCTCTCTCTCGAGTTCCGCTTTTTCGCCAATACGTTTTTCGGTAGTCATTTCGTAGACGATATTCTTCATTATGAAGATGTGCAGCGCCTGACTTAATGGAAAATTCCCTTCCATGCCAAGCTTCGTGACGATCGTTTCAACCATTTTTTCGGGAAAGTACTTTTGATATTATCGAGAAATTGACTTTTTTTTTTCAACGTGTTCTTCACTTCCTGGCTTTTTACTCTCGTTCCAGGGCGAAATTGCAGAAAGTGGTCAAAACCATTACGTGCAAGAGGCTCTTCCGAGTCAATAGCGGTAAGATCAGCGCTTGGTACTTGGTACTTGGTACTTGGTACTTGGAGGAAGAACTCAAGAGATGAGTACTGGCCTCGAGCTACGTCGTCGTCGTCTGCCTTCGTCCGAGTTTATCCTCGTATTCCCGGATTTTTTTTTCGTTGGGGGTCTCAGGGAATAGGGTTGCCAGATCGGTCATCTGTTATATTCTCTGTCTTTCCGAACATTTGAACGTTCGGTGTGGACCTTGGTGTGGTTGCATTGCATTTTAGCACTCCCCGTACCTCCTTTCGACTCGACAAGAGACATCGGAGAAGCCCGGTTCAGCAGTGGGCCTCCTTACAATATTCACGAACACGTGGACTTTGTTGGTAGATTTGACGATGGGAGGAGAGTCCAACGGGCAACACTGCTAGATGCGTTATTGCGCGAGTTCGGCTCCCGACCTTGACTCCGCCTACGCGTTCGTTCTCTCTCGTCGTTCTCGAGGATCGATCCGAGAATCATAACGGCTCTAGGATCTAGGATCTAGGGATGCTAACGGTTTCAGTTTGAGTGCCTTTCCAGCTGTGGGCAAATTTAAAATTCTAAATTTGCGATGTGCGATCTAAAAACTTATAATGAAAAAAAAACCCCAACCCCATCCAATAACACGGATTTCGCCTGACTAACACATCCACCCCCCCCCCCCCGTAAAGTTCCCGCTTCCGCCAATGGCTGCTCGCCATTTGGACAAACGAAGTGCCTCCCCTTGGGACAACATCCCATCTAAGAAGCTATTGCCTGAAATTGCATTGTTCTCCGAGCAGCTGCATGCACCTGGTAGGCATATTCCTATTTGAGGAACTGCCGTCGCTCGGCTCGAAGGGCGAACAATCTTGGCGTTTGACCGGCGGAGAAAAATGGAGGAGTGTTTTCTGAACCGCGCGAGATGAGAGATTCGAAATACAATATGCAGAAGAGATAAATTGGGTGCATCAAGAAGACTGACGCATTTGACTTGACAATTTACAGGGAAAACTTGTTTGCTGATAAATCAAAATTGTTTTCGTTAATATTCTCCACGGTTTAAGTTTCATTTGCGACGGGAAAAGGGGAATTTGGGAACAGTTTCTTTTTTTTTTTCTCTGGCTCAATTGTGAAAGCGCAAGGTGCGTTTTCGAGACGAGTCGGGCAGGAAACTGAGACAAGCACTAAAACTTCAAACTTCAAAACTTGAAGAAAAATCGACTAAAATTTGAGAATGGTCAAGATAAAGGTTTCTCTTGGAAATTTCAGTTGAGGAAAGTCTCTGACGCATCAAATTGAATCTTTCCCAGAGCGAGCAAAAAAGGAAACAACAATCCAGTCAGTAAAAAAAATTTTTTTTTGCCAACTCTCACCTCGATTGATTCGGAAGAGCCTCTTGTTTGTAACGGTTTGTAACGGTAACATGTAACAGTTTGACTGCTTTTTTGTGATTTCGCCCTGGAACGAGAGTAAAAAGCCAGGAAATGACGGACACGTTGAAAAAGAGTCATTTTCTGCCAATCCCAAAGTAATTTCCTGAAAAATGGTTCAAACGGTCGTCACGAAACTCTTCTCGAAACGACGACCGAAAAAACTCCTTGACGAAAAAGGCCGAATTGGAAAAAAATTCTCTTTTCGACGTTCGAACATCGGCGTTAAACTTGAGCCCGCGTAATGGAGCAATTCGGATCCTCCGATCCCTTCAAACTTTGCCGGCGTCGTCCGCCATCATCGAAGAGGAAATTCCGAGACGGAATCTGCACGGAATCTGGTGATACACGATCGGAAGACAGTCTTCGAACAGAATTGAGGAGGAATTTTTGATGCGTTTTTCGAGAACCGAGTAATTCTGTGCGAACCTTCAGCAGCCGCAATTCCTTACTCAATTTTTAAGTCTACATTTCAAAAGAAAATCTCGAAAACGCTCTAAAGAAAGTTGACGCAATTCCGCTTTCGACTCACCCAGCCGACGTCCTGACCGCACCAGCCAGCGTCTGTGCGAAATGAATCTGCGACCGGAATGGCAGCCGAATAAGCATATTTACGATTTGGACCTCTCCAAGTGAATCGGTAGTTTGACCTTTGACCTTTCATTCGAGGACGCATCACATGTATCCATTCGAAAGAGCAATGTATTAGCTGTATGCAAACGTTAATTGCACATCTCAACAAGAAAGGGTTTGAAAATTATGTTTATTTCATTGCAACCAGGACAAAGGCCATCAAGCGGTAACTTCAAACATTAACTTCAGCAAAACTGTAGGTCAGAGGTCAATGTGAGACCCCCTACAATAATTATATTATATAATTATAAGCCGAATTTCAAATCCCAGACCCTCGACTTTTGAGTTGCTCCCTACCCTGAACTGCAATCTGCAATCCTACTAATGTCCATTTTTCATGGCTTTCTCGTTTCTTGCACGTGCTACTCAGCCCAGCTGTGCAGGGAGCTCGGAGCTCGTACATTGAAGGCGCACCGTTAAAATATGGGGGAAAAACTTCCATGTCGTTTTGTGCACTTTCTACGAGTCAACGAGAGTGAAGACCACAGCATGGAACCTTTCAAGTCGCTGTTATTTCAAGAGTGCCCAACAACGATTCCCCCCAATTCAGACCCATGGAGGAATCGCTTTCCGCAAGTTTACCATGAGGCAATAAGACAGAGTCGCTGCTTAAGCAATCTGCACAAGAGTGATGACGTATCTGCTGCAGATGATGTTTTCACATGATTGGGCTGCAGAAACTCTACCCTGTCAAGGCGGTGAAATTTCTGGTATCGTATTCCACGAATTTTCTTCAACAGAAACAGGTGTCTGGAGCAGTAGTGTGCCCAAAATATCTCAATGGATGGTTGACATGTGAATAATTGGTAACCCACTGAATTTATGGCCAAATTCAAAATTTTTTGAGAATCGATAACCTGTAAAATGCACCCCAAGGAGGGGGAGTTATATCTCCCAAGCACCCCCTCCCCCTACCCTCTTGGGCACGCCACTGGTTTGGAGTATCGAAGTGGGGTGGTATGAACGGAATCTGAATGCTATTTTGCGCTCTAGGGTAGAGGGTTATGATGAAACTTTGAGCTTTAATCTACACAGATAATCGTTACGTTTTCCGAAGACTTTTATTCCACCTGTCACGGTTATATTAGCTGCGAAAAAAGAGTTACAATCGAGAATCGATTCGGAAAAGCGAAGTCGGCAGGAAAACAATCTAACAAAGGACACCTCTACTGAACTGCCACGCGGTCGTATGCGACCTAGAATACCCGGGGAGTCGTCTATCAGTTCCAGCAAGACAAACATGGCGGCGTCCCGGAGGAACCGTCGGATACTCCCGGTTGCCTTTATTTTTACTGTAATTCTCCTCTTTGACGCACAGTCGGTTAGTGGAAGGAAGAAATACGAATTAGAGGAGATATCTGATGAGGAACTTCATAAACTCATCAAGGATGAGTCTTACGTTATTATCTTATTCGGTGAGAATCCACTTGTCAGTCTTCATGATCAATTTCTTTCTTTTTTTTTAATGGATTATATGTAGAGCTTAGTGTAAGTTTGCAGGTATGGGATGCATTTTTGGCTCTCCTTTCCGTACTTCTTAAATTCAGTGGGCTTGAGTTGAACGAATTTCATGTAGGCATGAATTTGATTTAAATTCAGTTTGTCCTGTTTTTGCACCCATCACCCAGTAGATTCACCCCTGTACTCCACAGGCAGCAGAGATTGCACCGATACGTGCGAGCAGTATGAAAAAGCTCTGGGACGTATCCGAGAAGACATCGTGGACAGCATGGAAGCCTGGATTGCGAAAATAACTGACAGCTCTCATGCCAAACATCATGGTGTCCTCAGCACTCCTGCCATAATCTTCTACAGGAAACAGAACCCAATCCTATATGATGGTCTGGCCCAACTACTGATAATCTGACTCAACTAGAAAATATTGTAGAACATTCCATAAACATAGCAGCTGGAAATTTCTTCCATTTAATCTTGGTTTCTCTTCTTGAAGATGTTATGTGCTGATAGAGCAAATGAGAACTTTCATCAATTCAATATTTTATTTCTGTTAATATTCATTGTTAAGTAAGTGCTGGCCACCAACAGCTCAGCCAGAATTAGTTACTTGATCTCTTCTGCACATCTTAGCATAAATAGATTGTTGGAGGAATAGGAGAAAATTTTGATATATTATGATTGCCCTCAGTGAGGCAGGATAACAATATCAGCTGCAGGTGTCATGAATGACCCTTTAAAAAAGTAAAAGAGGAATCAGCTTGAGTAAACCTTAGTCCTACAAGCATTGAGAATGATTATATCATGCTTTCTGCTTCATTAGGTGCTCTGAATGAAGATGAAATGCTGGAATTCTTCATCACAAATAGAGAATCTGACACAAAGGTTCTCACAGATGAGAACTTTGAGCACCTGACGCAGGCTTCCAGTGGTGCTACAACAGGTGATTGGCTGCTTTTCTTGTGAGTGGTGTTTCTCTTCCATAATGCAAACTTCATAATTCTTTTACAAATTCCAACTAATGACTCTTCTTGCAGTCATCATGATGGATGTTCAGCCTGCGAAGAAGTAACCCCAACATTGGAAGCTGCTGCTTCTCGTAGTCGCCACCATCAGAACGTGGCAAAGATCAACATGAAGAAGGGAGGAGTGAAGACAGCCAGGCGATTTGGCATCTATGAGGCACCCAGCTTCCTCCTGTAGGACCTATCCCAATTTCTATTACTTGTCTGTTGACAGAAACTCTTCAATACTGAATGCCTGGAAGTTACTCAGGAGCCACTTTTCTTTTCAGATTGCATCTCGGGCGTGTTTACAGATACCCGTTTCAGGAGACTTCTGTTGAAACTTTGATCAAGTTCATGCAGAAGGGGTTTGACCTCACACAAGGAAATCCTGTGCCTTTACCGAAGTCATATCCGTGAGTTCTTGAACGCATGCTTGTCTAATGGTGCCATCTTTGATTTATTGCCATGTTTTTGTGATATTCCAGGGAGGAAGTATGGGACTCAGTCATCGCTTATGCGACAGAGAACTGGTTGTACCTGGTGCTCGTGTGTTCAGGAATCCTGCTCATGGTCTGCATCGTGAGCTACAATGCGATCGCCTTGGCCAAGGAAAAAGCAGAACTCCAGCAGAAGCGAAAAAAACACAAGTGAAAACCTCTCGAGAATGATCTTGATGGGTGCTTCCTCGACCAATGCCGTGTTCTCTCCCCAAACTCTCATCCGGCACGAAGATCTCCATGACGTCATGGTTGAGGTGTTGATGTGATTGTATCTGGTGGCTTTGATCTGGGGGGCATTTCAGAGACTGTTTTGGTTGGGGACGGATATTTTGGTTTTTTGTTCACAGGAGACTATGTGATTCATGGAGGGCATACATAGTGAGTGCCTCACCTCACTTCCTCCATTCCATGTTATTTTCTTTGACAAGGTTTTCATAAACTTCATCACTCTATGGTGGAAGTCTGCATTTTCATTTCCCAAAGAGTATCGGCCATCCCGTAGGGATTTCGAGGATGTTCGTGTTAACCCTTTGCTCTTTAAATGGTGCTCAATGACAATACAGTTTTGAATCAAGTTCTGCTTATTACACTATTGGCTCATCCAAGGGGCACTTCTGACACAAGGAATGTACCAAGACATCTACATAATGTTGACCCTGTAACTTCCAGAACCTGGATGGTCGTATGTTTAACTCATTGTTTTATTTCCTCATTCCAAAATAATCTCTTTTAAATACTTTGCTTAATTACTTTTACATGCCTTCATGAAAATACAGAGAGCATCAGACTTTGAGTTCACGACACAGCCGATTGGCCAAAGCTTCGTATCTTGAGTCTATTGAACCCAGAAAAGTAGTTGCAGGGTTAATCATAGAAACCAACATGGCATTTAGTGATATTATCAGCTGATATGACCATGACACTAGATATTGTAATTGGAGGCTTCCTTACGTACTGGGAGAGATTTAAATTGTTATTATTCCAAGAGAACCTATACAAATGGGAGGTGGGCTATAAAGTATCTTAATCATAATGATGAGGAGAGTTAGAAATAAACCTAAATGCAAGTAAATGTATGTATGTACATCTTTCAAATAGAATTTGAATTTGAAAAAGTATAATATAAATATCAATAACTATGAACATCTGAGGTCAGTTGGGGAGTTCAATAATTGTCTGAGGAAAAACGGTGCAGTCAATACATAACCGAGAATTTCCAATCTAGAATCATACTTTCGGATCACTTCGATACAAGTTTTATGTATTTATCACGTTTCCAAGTTCGGAGGTCGGTTTGGCTTCATGATAACTAATATTAAAATTTTTCAGATCCTGTCGAGCTTTGTGCTATTTAGGCACCTCGGGGGCACCTTCTTTGCACTGCAATTTTTTTGCACAAAGACCCCAAGAAACTCCCGCAATGATTTTCATAATACTTCAAAGAAAATTATCTCGGAAAATTCCTCCACCTTCAAAACTGGCATCTGCACTTAACCAAGACCTCCGAAATCTCAAGGACGCCGTCTCGAGATGCATCTGGCTTTCGCGGATCGCCTTCCTGCAAGCTAAAAAATCACCAGTGATGCTCGAGCAGGGATGTCAATCGACGAATTCATTATCGCAATCATCCAGATAACCTGAATGAACTGCAAATAAGATACCGGGGTTTTTCGGTCGGAATTCGTGACAGTCCAAGAACTTGGAAGTCGCGATCGTCGTGACATCTTCCCTCGCGGATTCGAACTTGAGCACTCCCTCCCGCCACGGTAGGTGGCGGGACGGACCTCTGCCCGGCATCCAGTCGCTTTCTCGAGGGATTGTTGCTCCGTTGTCACTCGTGCTTTTGAGTGATGTTGTCGCATTAGGGTTGCCACCTCTGAATTTAGAAAACTAAAGACAAATATTCTAAATATTCCCATGGCCCCTTTGAGCCAAGGCACCAATCGATACTGAGTGTGGCCTACTGCTTTTGACTTAAGGTACTATGGGAAGATGAAAATCGACCCCCCTGGATCGAAATTCCGCTTTATAATTGTTGTAAGGGACCTCAAGAAAGGACCTTGGAGCCGATTGCTGACTCTGCGGTAACGCCCTGGGCCATGATTTGAGGTCAAAGGGCACAATTTACATGCATCTCTGAAAATGTGTATCTCAAGGGAGATGCCACCCGCTTCCGAAACGCACTCCATCTCCATGACGACTGCGACACGACGGATGTGAAGACGGCAGATCGAGGACAGAGAGAAGCACGATGGAAGGAGAAACCGCTTCACGGCCAGCATCCCAAGATCATGGATGAACCATCGATCGACTCGGACGTCAGCTATAACTGGCTGAAGACGGGACTGTTGAATGCCGAGACAGAGAGCAACATCCTAACCATTCAGGACCAGTGCATTGTTCCGATCATCATAGGCACAACTGGCGTCGTCCTGAAAGACCTCAAAGGACATGTCAGGAAGCTGGAGTGTGAAATCTCACTCGATATCCACCAGCGTACAGCAATCTTGGGCACGGCCAGCGTCCTTCGCCGTGAATTCGTCAGAATTAGGCGAGTCTGGGATGTGGTTCATCCCCCCTCGTATCTCCGATGCCGGCAGGTGCCTTGGAGTCGGCAAACCGGGTTGAGCAGGTGGGCCGATTCCTCGGACCCATTAAGTCGTAAATTATTCTTGAGGTTTCTGAAAATTTTCCTGTTCGTGCCCGAATGGGGATCGTAAACAAGTGATCGAGGACTCACGTCAGATTTATGAGAAAAATCAGAGTTGCCAAGGTAACTTGAAAAGTGCAGAAAAAAGTCCACGTCCTCTACATTTCGCGTCCTCTCCCTATCCCTAATTTAATATCCCTATTTGGCATCTCAATTGGGCAGGCAGAGAAGCTAATTGCCCTCTTTCCCCCAGTCATGAGCCGCGACAACGATCGGCCTTGAAGAGGCAAGAAGCCAGCTCTTTTCTACGTGAATGGACTCCATAACACGAAACATTTCCGAGAAGAGGCAGGAATCTTCGACACCGTGAAACCTTCGCTCGCCTGTTCTCGGTCGGGGAACTTTATAGACATCAGAAAATGCAAGTAAAGAGAGAGGGAAAACTGGGAACTTTTCTTCCGATGCGACATAGGGTTGCCACCCGTTCATGGACAATACATATTTCAGATGCTATATCCATACTGCAAACTGGTTCAAACATGGACACCGTTTTGTCCGTATTTTAAACTTAAGCTTTTCTTAAGGGAATGGAGCTTAATAGCTGTTAATATCGTTATTTTCTTTAAAGTACTATGGGAAGATGAAAATCGACCCCCCTGGATCGAAATTCCGCTTTATAATTGTTGTAAGGGACCTGAAGAAAGGGCCTTGGAGCCGATTGCTGACTCTGCGGTAACGCCCTGGGCCATGATTTGAGGTCAAAGGTCACAATTTACATGCATCTCTTTGAAAATGTGTATCTCAAGGGAGATGCCACCCGCTTCCGAAACGCACT